CCTTGAACTACCTGTCCCGCCATGGCCCCCTGAGCGCCCATATCTGCCCTGGGTGCCCATCCCCATTCCCCAGTGGATATGTTATGGCACGGGACGCGCCTTGGAGAAGATGGCTGTCAGTGTTGTGGACTTGTTTTTCCGTGTTTTACCCCTGTTCTTGTTCCTGAGTTTCCTTTTATGGTCATTTTCCTGTTCTTGTTGAGTTGATTGATTATTCTATGCACCTGTTTTGTTAATTATCCTATGTATATTGGTTCCTGTTTGTTCATTCATTCCTTGTCCGGTCAACTTTGTTACTAGTTGTTTGATTTTGCTTAGCTTAGCTGTGTCTAATATGTCCGACTTTTAGACATGTTTGTACACTTAGAGAAATCGGCATGCACAATGACAGCAAAAGACTAATGAGTGCAAAGAGCTTAGACCTGTACCGCCTGACTGCACAAACTGATCCCTATTGTCTGAGCCAGAATCAATAAGTTTGCATTTCTGCCAATCAGTGAATGAGTGTGTGTGTGTGTGTGTGGGTGTGTGTGTGTGTGTGTGTGTGTGTGTGTGTGTGGCGTTGAGCTTTGGATCAATGCAGAGAACAACAGGGGTGTGTTAAACATGTCAAAACTGTTTCAGAAACTCAGAAACAGTGAAAGTGCTCTCAGTACAGCTCCTTATACTATAACACCAAAAGCTGTGATGAAAGTAAGACTGAATGCATCTGCCTTACATTAATCCACAAGAGATATTTGATCATCCTGTAAATTTGGATAATTGGCTTATGTGTGTTAGTGTGTCACTCTCCAGGAGGTAAAACCAGACCCCTCATGGAGAATTGATTGGTCATGGAGGCCAAGGCCATAGTGAGGTGATCCACATGACTGCTGGGGCAGACCTGAATCCTTTTAAAAAGAAACACACAAACACACATAGTCCAGCTCAAGAGGGTGTGGAAAAACTGTATCAGAGTTTGGTGATCACGTCACCCCACCCTGCATTATCCAAAAAAATCTACATGAGTGTCTCTAGCTATCTCTTTCTCACATGAAAAAGAAACATACACAGGAAGGGAATTGTAGATTTCAACAGAAATACCCACCAAATATATCACTATTTTATCAATACGTTCCTCCTTGTCTCTATTTACTAGGGTTGGTCACATTCCACTGACTTCCATTCATACAAATGTGGATGCGGGAGACAGGAGACGCAAGCTTATGTGAATTTCACTGGATTCCAAGTTTGGTGAACTCTGCCCTGCGAATTCGAATCATGTGAAGATGTGTGACCAACAGAACACTGATACGTCATGGCGTGACCACCTCATAGCTGAATTAAAAGAACGCAAACTTTAAATCTTCAGGATTGCAGTAAAGTGGAGTAGACTGCATATTTTTACACTGACGGCGCCATTTACTTTCACATGCTGTCTTGTTTTAGTATCCGATTCACAGAAGGGATTATGAAAATCATACACAATTTTGCAAAACAGCACAAACGTGCCTCAAAAACAGTGAATGCAATTTTGTGGACTAGTTCAGAGCACTGTGGTGTGGAGGATGTGGCAGATCACTATAATCTGGCATACTTTGCTGAAATTGTATAGCATTGATGCACCACTGTGATCCAAACATCTGAATGACACAATGACTCACTGACAAGACTGTCACATGCCGCCACTCACTGGTGGTTTTAGTTTCATATTTATCATTATCAATATATCATTTTTGTCAACATTGTTCAACTCTATTGACTATGTGTCTTCATTTATGCCTGATTATGACATTCTTCTTAAGTGCTGCCATGAACAATAGACGTACTGTAACATACGCAAACATCACATTTAAAGAGATGTTCTGTTATTATGAGGTTTGTGCACTGAAATGCCGGGTGCATCATATTTACGGAATTTGTCCCTATAGAGTTTGGGCATGCAAAGCAACTTTAAGTGATTAGTAGCCATTCAAATCGGATACAGAATTCAAATAGTTGGGATTACGATCAGCAATTCCACCCACTCCACCAGATTATAAGGATTTTAACCATGGATGAACATATTATAAACACACACACATACAAACAGTCACACGGCACAAGAAACAAATTAGCCATGGATGGATAGTCTCAAATTGCATTTTAATGGCTCTAGGCACTTTTTGCTGTCATGTGTGATACTGTGAAACCATGTCAGCCCTGCTAACTTCAGGAACTTGTCAGTGCTGGGAATGAGGTGCTAACAAGAGGAAATATGAGACACACACATACTCGCATACACAAAGGTATCTGGCATTAAGCACAAAGTACTGCTCTCAAAAGGTCCTCAAGACAGTGCCCCTAAGTGGCTCAACCGCTTTCATGTACACAATCCATACACACAAAGACAAAAATCAAGTAACTTTAAAAAAAAAATGCATATAAGAAACAGACTTTTCACAGGTTCCTTTTGTTTGCATTCTGTTTCATTTGCTGTGATCAAAGTGAGAGTTTCGAGAGTCCCCTGCAATCACAGCTCAAAGACGTATTATCATCCTGCCTTTGCTGTAATTACTATCTTCCTGAACACCAGCTTAGAGGAGCATGTGTGCGCTCTTGTGAAAAAGACAGCAGAGGAGGAGAGGATCTGAGACGTGTGGAACAGATGTGAGCTAGATTTAAATTAAAAAAGACACGATATTGTCGGACCTGACGGTTTATTCTTATCCAAAACAACTAGATGTGATATGAGTGTGATATACATACATACACTACCAGTCAGTGTCACATGATCCTTCAGAAATCATTTTAATATGCTGATTTGTTCAAGAAACATTTATTATTATTATTATTATTGCCATTTCAGATAAATGCTGTTCTATTCATCATCTGAAAAATTCTACTCAGCTGTTTTGAACATAATAAAAATAATAAATGTTTTTTTTTTGTTTGTTTGTTTTTTTTTGCAGCAAATCAGGATATTAGAATGATTTCTGAAGGATCATGTGACTTGAGTAATGATGCTAACAATTCAGCTTTGAAATCAATAAATGCCTGGACCGATTTTTTGTCCCAGTCCAGCCCTGTGTGTAGGAACAATAATCTGATGAATTAAATGGTGAAAACTGCAGGTGAAAGAGAAAACTTAATCCTAACTAACTTAATGATTAACATACACACACAGTTTGTGTCAATCATGTCACACTGAAATGAATGCAGCACATGTACATGCCAAAATCAAGTCCTATTTAAAACCTAATCCCACTAACCTAATAAAACTGTGGAGTACTGACATTGTTGCACATTGTTGATAAATAAATGCATATCATTGGATCAAATGCAATTTCCATATAGCTGAATTTCACCTGCAATATCTTTGACTGTAAAGTGAATAATTGTCAAGTGCATTTCAATTTGTTCTTAAAGTAATAAATACAAAGAAATAATAAGAAATAATGCAATAAGAAGCATGCAATGATGTACAGATGTTTTTACCTAGTGCCTTTTTAAAATATTTATTAATTTTGTGTTTGCATGATTAAATATTACATTAAAACTATTTATTTAAAAACTTTTTTTTTATATTATTTCATTAATATTTCATTGTACCTTTAGGGATTCAGCTTGTCACTGTCTGGGCAATACCTTTAAAGGTACATCTTTGTGTACATCTCAGTGTGTCCAACACAAGCTTTTTCTAAATGCCATTCATTTAATTAATATACACAGACAGGACAACCAGATGTCAACACATTTAAATTGTCACTGTTGAACATATCTCCTAAAGCCACATGTAAATGTGCATCTCTGCTCTTTCCTGCTATTGTTGTTCATCCTCATGCACACAAGGTTTCCTATTTATCTCATTCAGCATCTCTCCTCTTGTTTTATTCATGTGCTCTGTTCACAAACTGAGTTAAATCAAAAAAAAATATATGCAAACAGCTGCCAAACTCTTCCATGCTTTTAAAATTCAATATTTGACCTATAACATTTCACTACTGTTGTTATTATTGGATATAATTTCAAATTTTGGACACTGTTCATTTCCACATATTTCAGATTGCTTTAATCTTAATTTTGGACTGTAAAGTGAATAATTGTCAAGTGCATTTCAATTTGTTCTTAAAGTAATAAATACAAAGAAATAATAAGAAATAATGCAATAAGAAGCATGCAATGATGTACAGATGTTTTTACCTAGTGCCTTTTTAAAATATTTATTAATTTTGTGTTTGCATGATTAAATATTACATTAAAACTATTTATTTAAAAACTTTTTTTTTATATTATTTCATTAATATTTCATTGTACCTTTAGGGATTCAGCTTGTCACTGTCTGGGCAATACCTTTAAAGGTACATCTTTGTGTACATCTCAGTGTGTCCAACACAAGCTTTTTCTAAATGCCATTCATTTAATTAATATACACAGACAGGACAACCAGATGTCAACACATTTAAATTGTCACTGTTGAACATATCTCCTAAAGCCACATGTAAATGTGCATCTCTGCTCTTTCCTGCTATTGTTGTTCATCCTCATGCACACAAGGTTTCCTATTTATCTCATTCAGCATCTCTCCTCTTGTTTTATTCATGTGCTCTGTTCACAAACTGAGTTAAATCAAAAAAAAATATATGCAAACAGCTGCCAAACTCTTCCATGCTTTTAAAATTCAATATTTGACCTATAACATTTCACTACTGTTGTTATTATTGGATATCATTTCAAATTTTGGACACTGTTCATTTCCACATATTTCAGATTGCTTTAATCTTAATTTTAAACCTTTTTAGCAAATGTTCAAAAGTAACTTTTAGGGGTAAACCAGCTTGTCACTGGGCCAATACCCTCAAAGGTACACCCCTAAAGGCTTTATAGGATAAGAATATGCACCCTTTAGGGTAGACAAGGCACAAAGGTCTGCTACCCCAGCGCATGTAATAACAACGAACTTACAGTAATTGCCTTTCTATGTTAGTTTTACTCAATAAAAGTGTACAGTAAGGTAAGCACTAATATGAAGTGTCTCTTACCGTCGGGTGAGTGATGAGTGGAGATGTCAGCTGCCAGTCCCACTATCAGCAGCACAAACGCGCGCAGTCCGCTCATGAGGCACCAGTTCTCCATGCGCCGGTAGATCCTCATGATGCCCGGCTCCTTATGATGAGATCTTCATAATATACCGACACAGGAACACACACACACACACACACACACACACACACACACAGCGCAAGCAGAGAGGATGTGAGTGACTTCCTGCAATTCGATTAAATCCACAGGGGAGATAGGGGAGGGTGGTCTACGGACCCGCGATAGAGCTGTCTGGAGAATTTTACAAAGCCAGTACTGCTTAAATCTTACGGTCTACTGTGTTCACACTGTCCTGTGTCACACGTGCAGAGTGTAAACAAAAGCAAAGAGCACACGGACAGCTAAGAACAGATGCGGGTTGGTCTCGTGCTTTGGTGAAGTGTTGATTCTTTGGAAGAGTGCTGCTTGAATCTCCACGTGTTTTATAGCGGGGCTCTGCAGGGTCCTAAAGCTATTCATTCAGGTTCCTAAAACCGTTCATAAATACTGTTTATAAACAGTATTCATAAATAAAATTCATATATGTAATATTTTTAAATAATATTTCATCTTTAACCTTGCATTCCTAATTATTTATTGACAGTATTATTTCAAGCATTATTTTAGGTCAATGATTTATGTGTAAAAACAAATAGTTTAATAATATCAATAATCATATCTATTATAATTATTATCGTCCCGATTCATATAAAGTGTCTAACTACTATGTACTTATGCATAAATAAATAAATAAATAAATAAATGTATATTTAAAAACGTACAGAATAAATGTATTGTATCAAATGATTAATTTAAATGTAAGTACATGTTAGTCTATTATTATTATTATTATTATTATTATATAAAATAAGATGTGGGCTGTCTATTAAGAAAGCAAAGTAAATAGGGTCCATTCAGTCTTTTGACTTGCATTCCGGATTAATTTCATGATAGTATTATTTTATTGTATGTTTGTAGTCAATGATTTATGTGTAGCCTTTAAAATAAATAAATATATTTATCAGATTTGTCAGACTTCACTGTCACAGTGTTATTCTCATTTACTCAATCTTGTGAATGGCTTCTGCTTGATATGACATGAATGAGTTCAGTGCAATTTGAATGGTACTGTGGTTACGATCTAGGATAAAAGTTACATTTACTAAATACTACATTTAAAATATTATATGATTAATGTCAAGTCAATTTTTGCCTACATAATACTGTTGCAGAAATTCAGAAACTTTTTGTGGCTCTACATATTTTGTGAGTTTATTTGCAAGGAAATTATTCATTTTCTTAATGGGGTCATTTATCCTTTTCCTTTTCGGTATGCAAGGCACTCTATAATAACTCTCTCAAGGTTTCCAGCAGGTAGCATACTGACCTCAGAGACTCAAGGACTTAACATTTTTGCATTTTTAAATCAGCATATTTGCTTGCTCTTCCTTTCATGAGACTTTCAAAGCACCACAACTAGCTCTGAATTCAGACTGCTGAAAAAAGACGAGTTTTCCACCCTTAAGTTACTTGTCTCTCCTTTATCATCATGTCATCCAATCTGTCATCTAACACTTGATCACTGACTTTCCAGACTAATCTCCCGTTACACTGTTCTCTCCTGAATTCTATTACCCCAAATTTCACGTTCCGCACCAGAAACCCTGACACTTCCAGGGCAAAGGAGTATGAGGAATATATGCCCCTCTCTTTTTATCATACATCCCATGGCATTTTAACATTACCAAGCTGTGTCACATTCTGAAATTGGCTATTAAAGAAAGAGAGCATAATGTCCATATTTTAATGTGGAGAAAATTGCATAATGAATCTGAATAAAAGCAGGTTCAAAAATGGCAACACTTGCATTTTGTTTCTTTCTTTAATTTTTTTTCAAATAACTACTTGAGATTATGAACCATAGTTGATGGTTGAGACCATAGTTGATAGTTGAGTAATTACAAAATAATTTCAATAGTAGAACAAGCTGCACCTAATAAATCTTTGTAATGGGTTCTTTAGTTCTTTAGATAAGGTCAACCCATTTCCACTGGTGGAAAAAAAAATCATGTAAAATATAATTTAAAACTGCATTTTTATTAGCTCTACATGCTATCTTCTGTAGTGTTTATTTGACAGCACATTCTCAACAGAAAACAGACTCCAACCAGGTCTAGAGTCTTATAAGTTTTCTTATACTGTATTATCAAACATATAAAAAAAAAAAACTATCGCACAGCACATCGTATGGATTCACCCCAGGTCCAGTAAAAGGTGTTTTATATTTGGAACAATGCATCAGAAAGCCAATCTCTGCTCTCAGGAGGAAGCTGCAAAGGTCTTCCTTGTCTTCAGCACTTTGCCTCAGGCAAGGTGAACACGGGGGATATGAATCTTGTGGACAGGCACTTCCCTCAGTCACCGTGTCTTTGAAGAATTTGATCCAAAAGTTTCTGTGGAAAAAAGGAGAGGAAACTTTTAACTAAACTACAACCAGGCAAGCAGCCTGTTTGTAAAAGCACCTGCACGCTCAGGTCAAGTGGTGAAGAAATGGGGGTAATTACAAAATAATTTCAATAGTAGAACAAGCTGCACCTAATAAATCTTTGTAATGGGTTCTTTAGTTCTTTAGATAAGGTCAACCCATTTCCACTGGTGGAAAAAAAAATCATGTAAAATATAATTTAAAACTGCATTTTTATTAGCTCTACATGCTATCTTCTGTAGTGTTTATTTGACAGCACATTCTCAACAGAAAACAGACTCCAACCAGGTCTAGAGTCTTATAAGTTTTCTTATACTGTATTATCAAACATATAAAAAAAAAAAACTATCGCACAGCACATCGTATGGATTCACCCCAGGTCCAGTAAAAGGTGTTTTATATTTGGAACAATGCATCAGAAAGCCAATCTCTGCTCTCAGGAGGAAGCTGCAAAGGTCTTCCTTGTCTTCAGCACTTTGCCTCAGGCAAGGTGAACACGGGGGATATGAATCTTGTGGACAGGCACTTCCCTCAGTCACCGTGTCTTTGAAGAATTTGATCCAAAATTTCTGTGGAAAAAAGGAGAGGAAACTTTTAACTAAACTACAACCAGGCAAGCAGCCTGTTCGTAAAAGCACCTGCACGCTCAGGTCAAGTGGTGAAGAAATGGGGAAGTGGGGAAGTGACTGCGTGTTATCTACAGATTACCCAGAATTCTCCCTGGGTGGCCATCTCCCCTGGGAGCAATGATAACTTGCTATCTGTGCTCCAACCACATCATGCTATCATGGCTTTTCCCTCCTCGGATGTATTCATTTTATTTTCTGCCTGGTTCTCTTGTCCTTGGCTATCTTTGATGCTGCACATTCCAGTGTAGATTAGAAAAAGTTGAAATGTTTTGTTCGAGAAACAAACTTTTGTCATGAACTACTGATTTTTGCCAAATCTTAAAGGAATAGTTTAGTTTAAAAAAAGTAAAAAATAGTTTAAAAAAAAAAAAAATCACATAACAAAATCATATAACTTTTTTATATAAAGTCAGTCATTCGAATTCGTATGACAGTATGAGTTCAGTGGAACACAAAATAAGATGTTTAGAAGAATGTTCATGCTGCTCTTTTCCATAGAGTAAAAGTGAAACAGTTGAAACATCTGACTAATATCTGGTGAACTAACCAACTTAAAACTTGAAGCAAATTAAATATTTAGCCATTAGATCATTCACAAATAGTCACATCACTGGTTTAATAGTTCATGTCCGATTTACTGTGATAAAGAACATTATGTTTGAAACTAGCCAAATATCAAGCATTTTGAAACTACTGTACTCCTTGAAGTTTTAGTGGTAACAAGAGTAAACTCTAAAACAAAGATGCTGAGACTAATTAAGCAAGAAACTCAGTAAGCACAGAACGTTAAATGCACAGTTACTGTATAATTGAACTACAGCAGGTCTTTGTGTAGTCAAGCTACAGTCTTTATCCAAGGCTGCATATCTGTAATAACAATGTACTGTAAAAGTCTTTATGGTCACTTTAATGAGATGCTGAGTGAAAGTATTAAACACAATCAAATATTTGAAGAAGGATTAAATATACATCCAGTATATATTCATTACATACAGTAAATATACAAATATACATTGCAATTGGATTAACATTTACACATGCTGAAAGAAGCAAAAAAAAAACTGCCAAACCAGACTGGTATGATTTCAGTCAGACTATGACATTTTAAAGAGATGAATTAATGCTTTTTCCGAATTGTAACGAAACTTCTAAGGTACATGTAAATTTGCTTATCATGATAATTATTGCCATTATCAATCACTGGAATTTTCAATGTCCTTAACTGTCATAACAAGTATATCACAGGACACACATAAGAGACAGAAAGTCATGCACACGATGAGCTACAAAACAACGTCTATATAAACTCTTTTGGCAACTCTCTCTCTATCTCTCTCTCTCTCTCTCTCTCTCTCTCTCTCTCACTGTATCTCTCCCCTCACCTGCTTCTCTCTATCTTCAGCCTGACTTATCAAGAATTCATCACTGTCACAGAGGAGGTGCAAGCCTGAGAGACAGAAGGGCTTCATGGGAGACAGTGAGCCAGACACTTCATGACAGACTATCAGCCTCACAGGACCTGACACCCATTAAAACAACACACCCCGACAAGAGATTTCTCCTTTACAAAAGCACTCGTTTTAGGCATCCAGGGATCAGGCTGTCAGCAAAGACATCCAAAATACCAGTGAAAGCTGTCCTGTTGTGGAATTCAACACTCTAAACATCAAAAACAGGGAAAGTATTGTTGACACAAACCTCCTTTGTGTCACAAGCGTCCCCTAAGTATCAAGACCGTATCTGTCACCGAAAAGAACAAAAGGAATGCATGAATAAATCAGCCTTGAGTGGAATTAATGTGGATATCAAAAAGTAGCTTGATAGGCAGGATTCATTTGAAGAACTATACTGACCTCTATTGGAAGAAAAGGTAAGTACAAGTGATGTGATCTCTTTAAAAAAGAAACTTCTGTCTCTATTTTTTCACTCTCAAGTTGTACCAAAGCTGTACAACTTTCTTTTTCCCATTGTAACACAAAACTAGACATTCTGCAGAATGTACTAGTAAATCTGTTCAAATGAATGGGGACAGGAGCTTTCAAGCTTCAGAAAGGATGCAAGCGTACCATAAAATGATCATAAAAGTGGCCCATATGACTTGTACAATATAAGTCTTCTGAAGTCATACAAGGGCTTTGGGTGATAAATGTAAGTCATTCACTAGTTATCTCTTCTTCTTCCGAGCTGTTATATCAAGAATTGCTGTGACTGGATCATTGAGTCTGTGAACCAAATTCAAAAACCAGCTAGTCCAAAAACCTCAAAGTCCAGTTAGTTAATCATTAAGACTAGTTTTGTGAAACGGATCAAAACTGACATTTTTAGTTCTGTCAAGCAGAACTAGGGCAAAGATTATAAATGAATAACAGCTTAAATGTATCACATGACAACAGACGACTTCAAATATATTTTATACTTGTTTTATAGTGTTTTTCCTTTAAAAAAAACGCAAAAAGCTTCAGTCCCAATTAATTGTAATTTCATGGGAAAAAAATTACCAGCACAGTCTTCAAATTGCCTCCTTGTGTGTTGCACCGAAGAAAGTAAGTCTACATGGGTGAATAAATAATGACAGTTTTCAATTTTCGGTAAACTATCCCTTTAAGTTAACTACCCCAGCTAGAGTCCTTACCAGGTCAAGAAAATATGATCATATTAAACTTAATTTGCTGTAAAGTTGCTTTGCAACGATTTGTATCGTGAAAAGCACTATACAAATAAACTTTAATTGAATTTAATTGAATTAAGTGGGTTTTCACAAGGGCCCGACAAGATAAATGTAATGCTCATTTTGTATATTATCATTTCCAATCTGCTGTGAAGCACAGTTGGATCTCTGCATGAATGCCCCTCACGAGCCTCTATATATCATTTGACACCTCAGTACGGAGGTAAAAGTTCAGCAAGGTGAGATCAGACAGTCTGGCAGCACATAGCACCTGCTGTTTCTAACCGGAGGGAAGGTTTTCACAGAGCAGCACAAGTTTCATCTCTGCTGATACACTTGGGCTGACAGTTGTGACAGAACGCATTAGGAGTCAAAAGCCTCAGGTGTGTCTGTCCTTACGGTGGTCATTAAAGGTCAGTCTGGAGGATCACTTTAGAGTGTTCATTGTTACAGCATCAGCACAAAGCAACAGAGCTATTCGGTCATGACGTCAATTTATAGGCCAGTCCGGAAAGGCTAATGTTGTGTGCTAAACTCTGTGTTTTCCTTCATGAATTTTCATGAATGTGGTTTTCAAGTCTGTGGTTGCCGCTATTTGAAGCCACTTTCACGTTTTGTTAAAAAATTATGCGCTGTCATATACAACAAACAGGAATTTTGAAATCTAGGTGTTCTTTAAAAAAGGTAAGTCACTAGCAAATTGCTACATAAGGGCTATAGTCAAGTACATACTGTAACTCATATCCTAGATTAGTGGTTCTCAACCAGGGGGTCCAGTGCCCACGAGGAGGGCCTCAGCAAACTTCCAAGGGGGCCCACAAAATGACTGAAGTAGTTAAATGAATAAATCATATATATATTAAAATAATATAACTCTAAATGAAAATGCAAAAACCACATCAAATTAAGATATAGAGTGAATTTTTTTCCCTTCAAACAACAGAGGGCCTTTGAGCACCACTGTCCTAGATAACAGATAGAAAGCTGAGCTTTTAAAGAACACATTTTATTTATAGCCAGTCCCCTCTTTCGCTCTCCCACTTCACTTCTTGAATATTCTCCAACTTTTCAGTCTTTATAAAAGACAAAAAACAAACCCTTTTTTTTAATTAAATTTGAATTTACTCATAATTCAAGAAACATTATTTTCTTGAATATACTCATTAGACATTCCAGAGGGAACCCACTGCTGGAAAAGGCTAATTCTCTTCCAGGCTTAAGGACTACAAACATCTCTCAGAGTCTTGGTTAAAACTCTGAATCTAATTTAATTTTGGCTATTAAACCAGGCAATCTTTAATTGAATTCTCCTTTTAATTACATTCTACTAACTTAACTACATTATCTGGGTCCTGAAAAAAAGACACTATCATATTTTACTGTTCTGCTCTATATTCAGCTAAGAAGCATGTCTGTGTAAAGTTTCATTTTACTTAATTCTGGCTGCTTTTTTCACAGCCTCAAATGGATTCCACAATCATTCTCCAATCAACAGCTGTGCTTCTTACCAAGCTTAATCAAGCTTAAAGGACAAAAGCGTTTACAGCTGTAACCTCTGCTCCCATGCTCCCTGTAACACGAACTGGCCAACTTTGGATTATATCACAGTTATTTGATGAAACCACAATATGTGACCTGGCTCATTCTCTGCACACATCAGTATACCTCTAATTCACTTTTATGAAACAAAATGCAAAACATCATAGTGCCTCGGGACTATAACCTGCCTGCTATATGGCAGTAATGGATTTGTTTTAGTAAAATGGAATAGGCGTTTCAACATAGGCGTAACAAATAACACATAATCAGATTTTAGGATATTTAAAAAAAATAAATAATAAATATAATCTGTAATACTTTACAATAAGGTCTTATTTGTTAGCATTAGTTAAGGCATTAGCAAACACAAACAAAATGCAATGTAATACATTTTCATGTATATTATATTTATTAATCTTTGATCATGTTAGTTAATAAAAATAGAATTATTTGTTGCTTGTTCATGTTCACAGTACATTAATGTTAACATTTTGACCTTTTTTAATGTATTAGAAAATAATGATAGATTAATAAATTCTGTAAAAGTATTTTTTATTGTTAGTTCATGTTACCTGATGTAGTTTCTGCATCTACTGTTAACAAATAAAAATATTGTAAAGTGTCAGCAAAAAAATCTTATTTCTCTTCTGCTCTAGCTTGTGTACTAATCTACCATATACTGTATATTAAACTTGGCATTGTACATTATGAATATTTAAGCGGCACCCCCTCTCCCCATTTTGATTTCCGTTTTTTTAAAGTTTTTGTTTTGTTTGTTTTTTTTTTCCCGTGCGTTCCTCCACGTCCCCAAATGGAGGAGCAATTAATGTTTATCGAGCTGGCTCAGGCGAGCCCAGACCCAATCGTCTATGCAAGGGCGTTCGTTCTCCGTTCCTTGCTCCTCAGTCTGCTCAGCAGTGCACCCGTGACAATTGTTGGCTTTTATGACCGATTAACAGAAGCTAAACAAATACATGTAAATAAAAGTAAAACTGTGAATTTTTTAAATGGTAGAACTCATTAAAATCTATAAGCCTTAAAAGCAGAGTGAGATTTAAAGCTTAACCTTTTTGAACACCTCTGCCCTCAGTCTGTTGGTTTCCAACACCAGCCTCTTCCTCTCCTCCTCCTTCTTTTTGGTCACCTCAGGGAGTTTGTTGTAAATCCTGCAAGCACAGACTGAGGATGATGAATGCATAATGACATGAAAAAAGTGAGTTGGAGGTGCAAGAAGGAAGTGATTCATCTACTTTTCATCCAAACAGACAAACACACATGGAAATATCTAGATATATTGTCCATATATGATACTGATATATATGTCCATATATGCTTTTATCCACTATACTTCATGATCTGGTGGCTTTTATTCAAGCAGAGAGATAAGCAAACACTGTCCTTTTCAGAAAGGGGTCATATTGTGCATGATTAGCACTGATGCATGTGTAATATGAATGTGTGTACACAAAAACTCACCGCCTGGATCTCCATTGCATCTCCTTGCCTGAGATGGCTCTGTCCCTGGGTTTGAAAAGGTTATCTACAAAACACACATACAGCAGGGGAATAAAAAATAAAAGTGAAATGGAAAGGTTGTTACAAAGCTTAATATTTAATCATTACATTTTATTCTTCAATTTCAGTTTTTTTAAAGGATGTTAGTGTGTTACCTTATTGGCCTAGCCTTACAAATCAATAAACTGTTTAAGCATTTATGAGCTTACCGAACAAATATTGCAGTTGCACATACAGTAACTTATGAATGAGAACATTTTTACAGAATTCTATTGGAGCCAATAGGGGGCATCAGTTAGCTGCAGGAGAAACAGGACTTGTCATTAACTTTTAAAGATTCATTGTTCATTCTCAACAGGGCCGCAGTAATACATGCAGAGGTCTTTGAGATCTCTATTGTATCTGTTTGCATTTAATAAGTCCGTCCCATCTCAAGTTTGTTCTGATATTACCGAACTTCTAATGCAACATATGTTTCACTGCAGAGCTGAATTATGTCATCCTGTGACGGCATCAATATGTGTCTCAGTGCAATGTGCTTGCCCTAAAAATCTGAAGATGATGACCCTTATACTCACTGTTGGTACATTTCTCAGGCATTTGCCGCACTGATGCACCATTACCAATTCATTGTTCATTGCTACTGTTGATACCTGGTTGAATGGTTATAGCAGTAATACTGAGACTGCATTGCTGCAGCACTAGATATCCACCACAGCTCCTTCAACTGTGCATAGGAAGGATGCCAATGAAAACAGAGTATCTTACCACTAAGTGGGTGTGGCTTGGTGCAGTTCCACCTACGGTTAGCTGTCTCCACGCCCATGATAAATTCAGCTGTTTGTAAGCTCCGCCTCTCTCTGGCCCTCAGTTCCAATCGTCGCACCCGCTTCTGAGAGCGAGAGATGAAATCTGGACGAAACAGCTCAAGAGCCTCCTACACACATTTGGATATGAACACAAGGTTTGTGCCACAGTGAAATGCTGGGGTGTATATTTATAATATGCCATATTTTAGTGTTCAGGAAGGAAGTAAACTTGAGTAAACCTGATTCACAGAGGATTTCTTTGTTTTTTTAGCAAATCTCAAAATGGGTATCCAATTATTTTTAGTATTTTATGTAAAAAAAAAAAAATCAGATAAAAAGTTAGTACAGAATTTTAATATCAGTCATAACATGAGGATAATTATCAGCTTAACAGTATCAATATTTTGCAAGTAAATAATTGACTAATTCAAACCACATGTGGGTGTGTTTATAATGGTTTGCAAATATCTTTGCAGTTCAGATTTAAAAAAAAAGGATTTGAGTCAGATATGCCCCAATAAATCTGTTGTTTTCTGCCTGTCTGAACAAACCCTAAGGAAAACCTGATGGTAGCCAGATTCGTCTAGTAAAACCATACCCTCAAGCTAAGCAACTGGTGTCCTGTGTCCTGCTGGCCAGTCTTGGACTCACAGGTGCAGTTAGTTAGATGAGGAGAAACCGGGTACTCAGTGAGTCTCCTGACTTTCTCAGCAGTGTGGAACACTGTTCTGACCTCATGAGGGGCCCTTAGATGCACCTGAGGGACTCATGTACAGATAAATAATGATGTTAGCTTAGTGCCTTAGCACACAACCTGACAAACACTCGCTATAACACACTACAGTAATAAGTACTAATACATTGCAATACACAGAAGTAGTGGTACATAGTAAAAAAAAAAGGATTTGAGTCAGATATGCCCCAATAAATCTGTTGTTTTCTGCCTGTCTGAACAAACCCTAAGGAAAACCTGATGGTAGCCAGATTCGTCTAGTAAAACCATACCCTCAAGCTAAGCAACTGGTGTCCTGTGTCCTGCTGGCCAGTCTTGGACTCACAGGTGCAGTTAGTTAGATGAGGAGAAACCGGGTACTCAGTGAGTCTCCTGACTTTCTCAGCAGTGTGGAACACTGTTCTGACCTCATGAGGGGCCCTTAGATGCACCTGAGGGACTCATGTACAGATAAATAATGATGTTAGCTTAGTGCCTTAGCACACAACCTGACAAACACTCGCTATAACACACTTTTACCTGGATAAGTACTAATACATTGCAATACACAGAAGTAGTGGTACATAGAAGTAGTGTAAGACATGCAGGTGAACAGTCCACTATAGGGTTTGTGAACTTCTTAGTATTTAAAAGCAATGGATATTAAATGGGAGGAAATGTGACGGGACATTATTATTTTTTTTCTATCAGGATTTGATTAAATCTACCTAGCAATCAATTAGCAATATGCTGATAATAAATAAATAAATAAATAAAATAAAGGTGGTATCACATTTACTGCAAATTTTCGTGAAATCCAGTCATTTCGATTGGAATTCCCCAATCTGAGATTTCTGACCTTTTTTTTAACAATAATTTACTGATAAATGATATGTCATAAAGACCAGGAATATTGATGAAAAATAGGTTTGCATGAATATCATGCAAGTTCTTTTGGAAGCTCTTGTCACTTGATCCGCTAAAGGCAGAGTAAGATGTTGCATTTTCATGGCATTTCACGCTGAGCACATTCAAGCTCTTGATTATCACAGGGGAGTCCACCATTTTATTTAAAATTGGCTCTGAAATAAAAGTTAAAATGCTATTCACTAAAGCATGTCAGGATCAGTGAGAAAGAGACAGGCTGATTTAAAAGACAGATGCAGAGGGTTGCAAAAGGACAGTGAAGGATTGGCTCATAAATAAACTAAGACTTGTGGCTAAGTGCCCTTGTGCACCCTCCCTCCAGTGGTAGCTGGTGTTAGTTCATCAGAGCCCAGTCATGCTGTCGTGCCATCACACGCCTCACGGACCACATGCAAAAGATCTGTGTGCTGCAGAGAGGATGTTATCCTTCGACTCATCACGAGCAAATGTGTTTAGTTGTACAGAGTCAGAATAGGGGCCAGAGAAACCAATAGACTTTAGATGCAAAGTAATGTGGAGTCAATGATGCATCATCTCACATAAGAAGATTGAAACTCACCCTATTTTCTTTTCAATAGCTCTCCCTCACTTGCTTCTTCCTTTATATAAAAAAATCCGTGTCCTGACTGTGCATCTGCTAGTTGTGCTGCAAGGTAAATAACTGTAAAATACCAGCATCAAATGCTGATAATGCTACAATCTGCTACTTGGCTTTACTTGAAAAGTATCTCATTATTCCAAGATCAAGACTCTCTCTGTTAAAATCCAAAATACTGCCTCGCAGCAAACTTACAGATTTAACAGATTTCATTCCATCTCTAAATACCCAGCCATGCACTCTGTATCAAATAATGTCAGATTAAACCTATTCTGCCAATTTGCACCAGCGGGCCATTTTATCTGACATCTGATTGACCCACTTGAGCTGGTACACTCTATTCACTTTCTAGGTGCATTCTTTTGTTTTCACAAAGCCATTTATAGTTTTTCTGACAATGCATTCCCATTCCCAAAGGAGCTTGAGGGAAGGCCGGCTCATTAACAATGCATGAGCCACCAATCAGAAGGTGTGCAACCAGACTAAGAGATGTTGAAATGAAACCGCACTGGTTAAGATATCACACGGTGTGTCGGAAAGGAATGTCGCAGCAATGCTGCAGAATAAATGAGAGCAAGAGAAAGAGAGAGAGGATGGATACATTTACATGGCTGCTGAGGAGCAGGGAGGTGATATAGGTACCTGATGGCTCGCTGAATGCCTGTCTGGCTCTTAGATTGCTCTGCGTTGGCCCTAAGACATTATTAGCCTTTCCATTCAGTCTGAAGGCAGCAGAAGATGAGTGGCACCTTGTTCTGAATGGCAATGATGTTAAAGTGGAACACCGCGTGTCGGAGCCGAAGCTAGTATTATTTTTAAAGGCACTGCCATTGATGGTTGAACCATTCTTCAGTTGCTGGGACAGCCTTTCTGTTCCATCAACACCAATGTTCGCCATGTCCCAGTCGCTGTAGGACCTTTTAGCTTGAATTATCGTTTCGGGTTTCTCAGGGGTCTGAGTAAAAGATGGTTTTCCAAGGGAAAGGGACAGAGTGGATCTATACAAAGTCTGTCCAAGAGGGATTGAGAGGGATTTGTCCAAGTACAGAGTAGATTTTAATAGCTTGGATGGTATGAGCTCCAGATATGCACAGGAGCGGAAGATATGACATTTTAAAGGGGGCGAAGAGTCCATTTGGTCTTCTTCCTCTGTGTAGCTGTGCTCATGGACTGGTGGAGCTTGGGGACTGCTGAGGGTCTCGCTGGCACAATGCTGTTCTCTGTTCTCGGTCACTGTCACCACAACTGTCTTGTGTCTAGGAGGCACCGGAGTGCCAGCAATGATTTGTAGGGTTTTACTTTCTCTGTGGGCCATGAGAGAGGGCGGTCTGTCAGGCATGTTCAGAGGACGAAAGGTTGAGTTTAAATAAGCTGTACAATCCCTTTTAGGAGACAAACTCCGAGCGGTGATGGTGATCGAGGAGAAGCTTGACCGTAAAGTGGGTCTACTGTAGCAGTGGAGAGCTTCAGGGACACTGCGTGTCCGGCCCAGGAATAAAAAAGGACTAGATGTGTTTTCTGATCTCCAAGGTTCATCAAATGATGTAGAGCCAGATAAAAATGGAGGTGTTCCTCTCCCTGGGTCCTCCAATCTAGTCCTCAGACTCCTCCATGGTGTCATGGCATTTTGGTGCCAGCAATACTCATTATCCACTACCTGTGAAGTATAAGACCTTTAGTATGAAGCTTCAACTTTTACAAAATATTACAGAAATATTCTGGGTTATACACATATTAGATGTACAAGGGCAGAGTTCTCATGACTTTTCAATGAATGTACTTGATGAATTTAAGATGGTTTCATTAATGAATTGTTCATACCAATATATTTTATGAACTGGTTTGACCAATTCATTGACAAAGAACAAATAGAATTTCCTCATGAACTAGTTTGAATATTAATTTAAGTTGAAGCAGTAACATCCTCATATGCAGTACAACATAAGTTATTTCTTCTTCAGGCTATTAATGTAGCCTGAAGAAATAACTGATGTTGTACTGCATTTGTGATATCTATGGTCTTTTATTACCCCTCTATAAATATGAATTTCACCCAGAGGCAAAAAGACAGACATAACATGTTAGACAGTCGTACTGTTTATGATGAAATCATGAGGCAGTAAAAATATCAATAGCAACTATTGTCAGACTCTGTTCCATGTTTTGTGTGTGTCCTGCTCCCCATGTTCCTTCCCATGCCCTTATTTGGTTAGTTTCCTGTTCCTCCCCTGATTAGTTAAGTTAATTTGTCCCAGGTGTTTCCCTTGATGTTTCATTGCTCCCAGGTGTGTCTCGTCATCCCCTCCTCCTGTGTGTATAAAAAGTGTTCCCAGTCCCAAGTTCTCTGTCCGCTGTTAAACGTCTTCCTGAGTTCGTCTCCCTTGGTTCCTGAAAATAAAGTCTTGGTAAAGTATTCTCCAGCGTCGCCTCGTTCCTCGTGTGTGTGCACCGTGACAACTATATTGCACAGATTTCTGTACTGTATATTTACAACAACTGATAAACACATGATGACTAAACCTTTGCACGTTTACTTTGGCAAGTTACAGATAAACCAAGAAAAACTATAAATATACTGTCAGAAAAGTCTCAGGTGATTTTGAAGGCAACAGAAATGCTGTGTGAAAACAAACTGAAGAAAATGTTTAACAAACACAATCCTCTGCTGGATAAAACAGAAATCCTTAGAAAATAAAAAACAGTGTTTGAGACATTACTGTTAATTTACACAGTTGCCACCTTAATTTTATTTGCAGTGGATCACTGCTGATTTACAGGAAAGGCCAAATAGTGTGGCTGAAACGGTTGTTTTCAATTACAATAGCCAACCTCCAAATTTATTACCAAAACGTGATCACACACCACAAGACTAAAGTTTACCATACTGAATTTTGGCTCAGAGATTGAAAAACCAAGGAATTACCAAGAACAGAGTGAACATTCAGTCAACATAATGAAAACATATGCTGAAGAACTGTAATTTCTACATGCACCAGAAATTAACCCTCTACCGCATGGCAAAAAGATTTAAATATTTTTTTCTATAGGTCTATCATAATGCGTGCGGTAGGGGACAATGTGAGATGTTGTACAGACAAAGTACTTAGTAAAAACAAAATTGTGATAAACAAATACAGGTGGTACTTTCCTGAATACAATTTCACAATTTAAGTTTAGACACTTTAAAAAAAAATAATGTTCATCATCATCATCGTCGTCATCATATTCCACACTGCTTTACACAATTTAAATAATTTTGATACCTATAATCTTAGATCTACTAGATTAGAGGTCTGAATATTATGCATGTAACTACTGCAGAAAGGATGAACTTGAACTATTTTCTTATTTGTAGCTTTTATGCATGTCTTACAGAAATATGTTTGTTGTAAATTAATTAGTATAGTTTTAAATGAGTTCTTATAATAGGCAAATATGATATTTTAAGAAATTGACACATGTGAAATAACACTAATTTTACAAGTCATCATTAATACATAATCAAATAAGGGGCCACATTATCTCTTGGTTGATGCAAAAGGTATTTACAAGTTTATACTTTTATTTGGTATACTATGAATTTGCCCATAAAATTATGGACACGTTTTGTCAGTTTGAGATTCACCTGTACGTATTTTGAAAACTTAAAATTACACTTTCAAAATGTTCAAGCCCAATCCGATACATTCTACTACTGTATGTATACCTGTAATTCGCTGCTTAAGTCTCTCTTACCTCATTAATGTTGGGACTCGACTGATGAGAGCACTTCCAACCTTTGAATCGCAAGTTTGAGCGCATGTCTCTTACATTTCAAGCTGTGGAAAACATAAATACGTAATTCATAGTTATTAGATACGCGTTCGCAGCAGCCGAATTACGTCACAACACAAAACTAAACGAGCACGCGCCGCTCGTTTTTCAGCCCAACCAACTCATGTCTGCTCACCTTTACTTCAATTATTCATGAGCTGCCACTATTATCCAGTGACCACGCCACTTTGAGAGAGTTTTCAAGTATTTTAGCCTACCTGTTACTCTTATGCTCCCAGCTTATTCTCATAGTTACTTCATGAGTAGTTGTCATTCCAAACAATTACCGAGTACTGAAAAGCTTTTGCTTATTCACACTGTGGCATGCTGTTTATCATGAACAGCCCTGTTAACCCTCCAGCTGCCATATCAGCTTACGTCATTTCAATATTTAATAGCAAAACAATGGACATTCTTGTTCAACCCTCTGTCATGGTTGACAGCATATACATTGGTCTTCACTAATAACTGCTGCCCAAAAGCTGGCATTAAAAATCAATTTAAAGTGTGGCTGTCATTTTCAGGCAGTGTTTGGGAAGTAACTCCAAAAGTAATAATTGTGAATAACTTGTAATTTCAAAAACCCCTCTTTTACCTAATGGGCAACAGGTCTACACGTTTCAGCGGAGGAAAATGTAACAGCAAAACTGAATCAAACTTAATACATCCTGCAGCAATAAGCGGAAAACTACATCCCATGTGGATTTATGTGATTATGTTCCCTTAAAAACAATTTGATTCTGTTTTATACTGGAAGGTTGGAAACCCTAAACATGTGGTGATTGTGGACATGAAGGTCACCCTCTTTAAACAAACATGTACAGTAGACTATGCAAACCAACTAAATTTCCCCATCTATCTTCTGAAACAAAACTCATTATCTTATTCTCTTGCGCTGTAGCTCAACAACCGAAACACCCAGAGGATGCAAATGGAAGAGAACCATAAAACATGTGAAAAAGAAAATTATGCATTCATTGCCTTTTCTGTTGGTTCTGTTTTATCTGTGTTGAACCAGTGAGGGGAATTGTACGAACAGCTGATCTGTCTCTGAAGAGTAGCTGGCCAATATTGGATGTGCCTCTCTACGTTGACTGATTGCTATCATCAGAGGGTGCTGAACAGTCACGGCTCTTGCCCTGACCTGAGGATTCATATGGAAAATAGGGAAAGGCTCAAGAGGGTGCATCTTTGGGGGAAATTGCTTGCTACGTGAGACTGCCAAGTCACTGCGAACCATCTGCGATGAGTTGGTGTGTTGCAGATTTAGAAATGTAATAACTGTTTTCATACTTCTGTGTTGAATTTAGGATTTTAATCAGCAGTAGTATTTTATTCCATATAATTTAACAGTTTCTCCACTCATTCCCATTTATCTTTGTCCCTAACATGTATTATGTACAGCAGTGGCTCTCAGCTGAGGGGCTGTGACCAGGGCTGGATTGGTAATCGGGCATACCGGGCATTTTCCCGGTGGGCCGACGCATTTAAGGGGCCGACAGAATGTTTTTTTTTTGCCGAAAACCATCACGCAGGAACAGCGAGCAGCCAGTGGCCCATTGGGTTGTCTCCTGTATTGACAGCGTAAACATCCAATCACAAATCACTATAGACGGAGCGATTAAATATTTTGCTCCGCCTATATAAAGATCGCATCACCCCATCTTCTTCCTCGTCGGCTTTTCCCACGTTTTCACAGGAGATTTATCAAGAACAGGCTTGCTATGCGGTGAGTGATGCGGGCCAAAGAGCAAGGCAGGAGGAGAAGAAGAGAGTAGTTGAATTGTTAACGTGCTTGATAGGGACTCGCAACGGAGGCAGGAATCTAACCTATCCTAATGTGTGTGCGCGGCTGCGCGCCATGAGTGTAGAATGAGTAAACACTTTTTAATAAAACGTAAATTCGTCCCACGCGATTTTTTAGCCAAGTCAAGTCAAGTGTGTTCATAGAGGTTTCCATGGGCCAATGCGAATAAAGCTAGATTTAAATAAAAAAAGACACGATATTGTCGGACCTGACGTTTTATTCTTATCCAAAACAAGATGTGATATGAGTGTGATACATAGGCTACATACATACACTACCAGTCAACATTTTTTGAACAGTAAGAAAGATCCAATAGAAAGATCCAAAGATCAGCATTCATATGAAATAAAAAGCTTTTGTAACATTATACATATAACATTCAAAGGAGTCAGTATTTTTATTGTATTTTCATTTTTGTGGGAAATGATAGAAATTAATACTTTTATTTAGCAAGGATGCTTTAAATCAGTGGTTCTCAACCCGCGGGCCGCATGCGGCCCGTCACGAATTCAAATGCGGCCCACCATGCTGAACGCAATTAAAAAAAATTACTTTCAGTTTTACAATTCATTTTAGTTTTTACATTCATTTACAAATGTACTAAATAAATATAAGCTTTAGCCTAATGTTTTTATGTAAAATAATTTTGTTTTTCATATATTATTTTCAGACATGAGCAGTACTCACATAGCCTAATTAACGTTACGCATTAAAAGTAACGCCAAGTGGCCAGCGGCAGACAGTGAGCATATGTTTGATCAATTTAGCCTTCTCAAATCATCACGACTTGACTAAAATAAAATCTATAGATATAAAACAGTTCAAGCATATAGCAATGTTTAAACGTTAAACCTAGATAAATGTGCGCTATATCCAATAGTTTGTGCAGAGTGGAAGCTGAAGCGCGCTTTGCAGGACATGGAGACGCCAGCGCGATCACTTGCATTTTTTTTCAGTGGATACACCGTCATTTTTGCTCATAAAGGTAAGAGTAATAAATCATTCTAAACTGTAAAGGGTCTAGCTTTATTTGTGTGCACTCACAATATCAACAAAACGTTATGCTTTTGTAAAATACAGAAAACAAACAGGATGCACTTTCTGTCGTCTTGGTCTTGAGCAGGAGTGCTTCACCGACATGATAAATATATCTATAGAATGCTTTAAATTACTATTTTAAAACGAAATAATTCAAATCGAAAAC